CTAACGGTCATTGTGTGGCAGACGCCATAATGACTCGGTCGTGGTTTTTGACCGTGACTCTCAGCAGCTGGTTCTCCAAAATGCTACCGAGACCAACGCCGATATTGACTTGACTGACTGTCCCTATTGCCATCGTCCGCTGCATGACAGCGGCGGGGGGCAGGAAGGTCGTCATACAAGTCCCGGAGGGCAGCCCGAGTTTATCAACCCCGATTATTTCCGCATGCTTCATAGAAGCTTACCTAGCTCTGCGACTTCGTCAACTTCATCATCTCCTCACCGACGCCTCGTCCAGCCAGCTCTTCCAGACGGCCCCACCAGTGAACCAAGTGGCGGAACGTCCGCATCCCAGGGTATATCGTCGGGGGCATTCACACCCAATTACTTTAAGAAGTTCTTTGTCGAGGAGAGTATACTAGGCAAAGGTGGAAAAGGCGTTGTCTTGCTCGTGAAACATGTGTTAGACGGCGTGTCGCTAGGGCACTATGCTTGCAAGCGAGTGCCCGTCGGGGATGACCACGAATGGCTTGAGAAAGTGCTGGGAGAAGTTCAATTGCTGCAACATCTCACACATCAAAACCTCGTCTCCTACCGTCACGTATGGCTTGAGGATGCGAAGATCAGCACTTTTGGGCCAAGCGTACCCTGCGCCTTCATCCTGCAGCAATATTGCAATGCAGGTGACCTGCACAACTACATCTGTGGATCGGTACAAACATCTACAACCGCCCAGCAATTGAAAGAGCGTCTTAGGAGGAGGTCCCGAGGTGAGCCGGATCCTCGTACTGATGCCAACGAACCTCGCAAACTCCACTTCGAAGAGATATATTCCTTTTTCAAAGATATCACATCCGGTCTACGTTATCTCCATGCGAACGGCTACATTCACCGTGATCTCAAACCAAACAACTGCTTATTGCACAAAACCAGTGATGGCATACGCGTATTGGTCAGCGACTTCGGTGAAGTTCAGGCTCAGAATTCGACCCGGCTGTCTACCGGGGCGACCGGGACTGTGTCGTATTGCGCACCTGAAGTTTTGCGTCGTGAATACCCCGGAGGACCGTTTGGAAACTTCACGTTCAAATCGGACATCTTCTCTTTGGGAATGATCCTCTACTTTCTGTGTTTCGCACAGCTTCCTTATAGTAATGCTGACCTTATCCATGAAGAGAGGGAAGATCTTGATCGACTTCGGGAAGAGATCAGCCAGTGGACGGGTTTTGATGATGCTCGCAGGATGAGACCTGAATTGCCTGAGCAACTTTATACCTTCCTGGAACGGCTATTATCTGTGAACCCTGATCGTCGACCGTCTGCAGATGATGTTCTGAATGGTCTTCAGGCTGGGGCCAGTGTGAATGATAACATACGATCCAGAAGGACTGGCTCTTCGAGTTCTGACGGGAATTCCAGTTCCAGGATGCAATTTACTGAGAACTCAACAACTGCTTCTTTCTCCCGACCACCTACATCTCCAAGAAAACCATTTTCACGAAGTCCAGTAGCTCTCCGACGCAACCCCCCCTACGAGTCCAATGGGGGTGGACCGATGGCCTTCGTCGACGATCTGGGGCCTCATGATGAACGGAGAATGTCGCTAGGCCCCGAAAGAGATATGGTCATCCGAGGGAGGTACTCGAACACTCCGTCTCTTCCACCGGCCCGGAATGAGCCCTCTGAAGTTCGTGAAAGCCGTGAACCTCTTCAACATTTACTTCCTCCACCTTCGAGCGGCTCGTCCATGACTAGGTTTCTTCCATTCTCATCAAGCACACTTCGTGGCTTGCAGATCCCGCTACCTACAGTTCAACTGGGCTTTTTTCTTCTCAAGGTTGTTTCAGCGTTCCATCCCTGCAGTCCTCTCGCAGTGAATCCCTGGATGTTTTACCCTTTGCTACTGCTAGCAGCATTAAACCTACGGACTCAAAGCACCGGCATGCAAACAATGTTTCTGATAATACACCTTGTTGCCGTTAGCCTCAGCATGCAGTTTGGCGTTATGTGCCTTTGGCAGACTCCACGGTTGATGATGTTCTCAAAATAAAGACTGCTCTGGCTTTTGTACTACCAGAACTTGATTTTCCCAGCTTATGTTATTTTCTCTCCATGCCGCGCCGTTTATTCATGAATGTACGCAACCACGAAGTTTGTTCTCTTTTGAGCGCATGGCATGTATACATACAAAAATGAAACAATATCTACAATTTATTCTACACTGAAATTCCGCTCCCAGCGTCCGTTCCGAAGTTGTGCATAGTTGAAGCTCGTTGGATAAAGCATCTAAAAAGCCAATAAAACAATAAGCATAGACGTTTATGACAACGGAGATGGCTCAACAATTTGTGGCCTATAAGTAGATACAGCCCAAGTCTTAAGATCAACTAGCAATGAAAACACAAGTGATTTACCAATAAACTGGACAGGCTGTCGACATATACCGTTACCAATGTACATCCTGGATTGCTACATAGAAACTCTATCGCGGAACCATTTAAATAACCCAACCAAACCACAACAATATATCAAAACAAGAAATCAACCAATTTAATGACTCTCCCAAAACTGCGCATCCATAGCATAAGTCGATTAAACAACTGATTCCTTCCTCGCATTCCAGTAAGATGGTAAGATTGATAATGGGGCTCCATCCTTGAAATCACCAACCCATCAATGGAATGCTTAGTATCAGCTGTTAACTCAACAATCAGCTTCCCCTTCCAACCCAGCCCCTCCGTCTTCTTTAATTCCTTGATTTCAGTAATAGGAATCTGAAACAACACGGCACTCTTCTTCTGATTCTCCAGTCGCAAATCATCCAGTTTAGCAGATTGACAAGTCGTGAAATATAGGACGGGCTGCTCCTGTGATGAGTCGATGACAACTGTACCTCGCTTGCGCTCAAATTTTGCCTCGAATTTGAGAGGGCCGAGAGGCGATGCCGTAGCCCAGCCTCGTCGGCTTAACAGGCCAATTAAGGTCTTGGTGTTTACTGAATCCGTGATTCTCATTGCGCGGTCGAACGCAATGTGACCTTTCATTGCTGTTGCGATTGTTCGACCGATGAATCTGAGGATCTTGGACCATTTCTTCTTGCGAGCTTCCGCCTTGGAAAGTTCTGGCTTGGGGCTTTGGGTTTGGGATACGAGAGATGTAGAAGCGCCCTCGTCATTTGCGCTAGACGTTATTCTACCGAAAGGTTTGCGACGAATAGGCCATAAGGGCTCATTGTTATGCGAGCTTGGTGGTGGAGGTAACGGCGTGGAGTTGATTTCACCAAGACGAAGGAGGGCCAGTGTGAGTTGGGCGTTTGTGGGTACACCTTTTAGAAGGGTACTAAATTGTAGTTAGCATATGTAGTTTTCTCTGCCGTTAAGGGGATTTACTTCTGTAAGTCTAAGTATTCTTTCCAGTTTGCAACCTTGTCGTTTAGGATGGCTATACTGCGTTGCAGGACAGGGTCACCAAAGACGGCCAGCCCAAAGATAAAGCTACCAGACTTGATCATAAAATGGCTCGACGTGACCAGAGACATCAGACCTATAGATATCAATGCCCCCACCAGTTGCAGGCGAGGGGTAATGGCAAGGAATGGTGGTGTGGGGGTTAGAAGACTATTTGGGCCTTGGTCAGGGACATTTCTTAGTTTGCGTATTGCGGTAAATACTCACTTGGAAAACTGCTCATATATATCTGTAATATCACTGATTATACGCATCGTCTGGTTCGTAGCCTTTGATATCTTCTTCTTCATAGGCTTTTTAGTCTTATCTTCGGCTGGTGCATTCTCGGCTTGCACGTCTGCGGTGATTGCCCCGACCTCAACTGGTTCAGGCTCGGAGGACTCCTCAGCATCGTCGTCAATGACTGATTGACCATATTTGCCTCGGGCACTTTCCATGGCGACATTGGCGATATCGTTGACCAAGTTGGAGGCCTCCTGCTCTGCTGCTTCACCTTTGTATGTTTCTGGAGCACTGGTGATGCTATTACGTGTGGACTGCTCGCTGCCACCAGCATCTGAGCCTTTCCTTGAAGTACTACCAGGAGGGAAGAGCAGTGATCGTGTCGACGGGGACAGGATCAACGCAACAAGAACACCGGTTGTCAAAGGAATAAGTAGATCTAAAAACCATGCAACGAAGTAAGTCTTTGAACAAGTTAGCTTCATACTGATGCCGCATGTTCAGAACAAAAATCATAACGTACTATACAGAAAGCCGAGGTACGTCTAGGCTCTCTCCATGACCGCAGTCTAGTGATGTGACGGAAGAAATTAACCAACCCCACAACCACAGAAGTATAAAACCGTTCAGTAGTTGCCCGCAGCTTTTCTGGCGGAAAGTGTTCCTCGTCTGCCCGGTTGAGATCCAGCTCATCCTGGGGAGGGCCTTGTATGGCTTTGACATGATGTATTTGCTACTCGAGAAGTTATTAGAATGATTGTATAGATCCTCTAGATCCAATAACCTCGACATACCTTGTTAAACCTCCGAATGAGCAACCATAGATCCTCATTGGACATATCGGGCATGAGTTGTTCGTCTACTGTTTTGGAAGCCTGCTTCCACTTGATGTCTGACTGTTTTCCATTGCTGTTGACCTTTTGAACGGCATTGCCCTCTCCTGGCGCTAGCAGGGTATGATCATGGACGTCCGTATCTTCGAACCCACCAGGTACTTCTTGTTCGTTGCTCATCGTATATCGAATCCTACTTCAGAAGAGTCCAGAATTTGATTCTTGCAAGTAGTATAGTCATAGATATTTGCAACAGGCTCCCACGGTAGACAACATGTCGTCCTCGCAGATCACATATCAGTATTCCCACATCCTTCTAATTGGCCAATATCTAGCACCGCCTTATAGCCGTGGCAGTATATCTATAGCTTCTATCAACTTGAGATTCATGCATTTACCGTTGTAAGTACTATCCCATGAGGACATAGAAACAGGAAAAGCTTCACTCAAGATTGCAGCACATCTATTCCAATCATCCGGAATCAAACAAAGCCATATCCTGGGGCTAAACATACACGTGACTGCGCGGCAAGCTCCTTCGCCCGGCCGTAGAAATTCTAGAAGCCGCGGCGCTGCGCATGGTCAACGGTGATCCCGAAACACCATCTTTCAATCGCTATTCGCATTCGCCATCATGGACGATATCGTCATGAACGATTCGTCAGAGGTACTTCCCCCACGACCACCTCCGGAACCTATCGAGCGACCTCCTACTCCCCCTCCGCCTCCCCCAGAAGATTCCGCCGCCCCTCCTCCGCCGCCAGATGCGGCCGCGCCTCCACCACCGCCCGAAGAACTTCCTCCTGCACCTCCGCCACCTGAACCAAAGAAGAAGAAGGTGGGATGGGGCGCGAAGAAGCCAGCGGCTACACCGCTGAGTGTAGAGGAACTGGTTCGCAAAAAGAGGGAAGCTGATGCGGCAGCTGCTAGGGTATGCTATTTTTTTCTTATCTCTTGTTTCCTAAGAGCTTGTGATATGATGTCAATTCGTGCTGGATGGCTCAGGGAGCTGCTTGTAAATGTACATGGCTAATAGGAGCTTTTCTATACAGCCAAAATTCTTGTCGAAAGCCGAGAGAGAACGACTGGCCCTGGAAAAACGAGCAAAGGAAGTCGAAGCAGAGCGAAAGCTAAAGGCGTCCAACGGTGTCGACAGGAGTGCGACGCAGTCGCCTTCAATTAGCTCTGAAGTCAATAATGGTGATGGAAGGTCTATACCCACCGGTCCCCGGGCCATGAGAAGCTCAGACGCTCCTACCGCACCAGCTGCAATGCGCAATTCTCACTCCCATAATAAAAACCGCGACCTATCGCCGCCTCCCCCGCCAAAGTCAATGGGTTCGAAAGGCGACAAGCGATCAGTCGACGACGATGAAGTAGCCGCTCAGGTGGCATTGGTTAAGCAGAGGTACATGGGCGCAGACCAGACGTCGACTTTCTCGGCAAAGAAGAAGCGGAAGAGGACAACAGACCGGAAGTTCAATTTCGAGTGGAACGCAGAAGAAGACACAAGTGGAGACTATAACCCCCTGTATCAACATCGACATGAGGCGAACTTTTTGGACGTGGTCGACTGGCAGGTTTCGGAGACGATGTCGCCGACAACGTGGCGAAGAAGTACGCGAGAGCCCTGGAGGACCGCGACCACGAAGCGGGAGGTATCCGCGCCCGAGAGATCCTGGAAATGGAGCGCCGGCGGAGAGAAGAGAGCACCCGCAACCAGCTTGACAAACACTGGAGCGAGAAGAAACTGGAGCACATGCGCGAGCGCGACTGGCGTATCTTCAAGGAAGACTTCAATATCAGTACCAAGGGTGGGAGTGTACCGAACCCCATGCGGTCGTGGGATGAGTCCAATCTCCCCAAACGTCTCATGGAGCTTGTCAACAAAGTTGGCTACAAGGAACCTACGCCTATTCAACGTGCTGCTATCCCCATTGCCATGCAGTCTCGCGATCTTATCGGTGTCGCCGTTACCGGTTCCGGTAAGACGGCAGCCTTCCTCCTCCCTCTGCTAGTCTACATCGCCGAACTGCCTCGCATCGACGAGTTCGAATGGAGAAAGAACGACGGCCCTTACGCCATCGTCCTCGCCCCGACCCGTGAATTGGCCCAGCAAATCGAGATCGAAGCCAAGAAATTCACAGAACCCCTCGGCTTCAACGTCGTCAGTATAGTCGGAGGTCACTCCTTCGAAGAACAAGCCTACAGTCTCCGCAACGGCGCAGAAATCATCATCGCCACCCCAGGTCGTCTAGTCGACTGCATCGAACGCCGCATGCTAGTCCTCAGCCAATGTTGCTACGTAATCATGGACGAAGCAGACCGCATGATCGACCTGGGTTTCGAAGAACCCGTCAACAAGATCCTCGACGCCCTCCCGGTCTCCAACGAAAAGCCCGACTCCGAGGAAGCCGAGAACTCAATGGCCATGAGCCAACACATCGGCACGAAAGACCGCTACCGCCAAACAATGATGTACACAGCCACCATGCCCACAGCCGTCGAACGCATCGCCCGCAAATACCTCCGTCGCCCGGCCATTGTCACAATCGGTAGCGCCGGCGAAGCCGTCGACACCGTCGAGCAGCGCGTCGAGTTCATCGCAGGCGAAGACAAGCGCAAGAAGCGTCTGGGCGATATTCTCTCGTCCGGCGAATTCCGGCCGCCAATCATCGTCTTCGTCAACATCAAGCGGAACTGCGATGCTATCGCCCGCGAAATCAAACAATGGGGTTTCTCCTCTGTTACCTTGCACGGTAGTAAGACCCAGGAGCAGCGTGAAGCCGCTCTGGCGTCTGTGCGGAACGGCCAAACGGATGTTCTGGTCGCTACCGATTTGGCTGGTAGAGGTATCGATGTTCCCGACGTCAGTCTGGTTATCAACTTTAACATGGCGACTACTATTGAGAGTTACACTCATCGTATCGGTCGTACCGGTCGTGCGGGTAAGAGTGGTGTGGCTATTACTTTCTTGGGTAATGAGGATACGGATGTTATGTACGTTTTCCCTATTCTTCCTTTCATATTGATGGTGGATCCGCGCGGTGATACTAATGGCTTTACAGGTACGATCTCAAGCAGATGCTTATGAAATCACCCATTTCTCGACTACCGGAAGAGCTGCGCAAGCATGAAGCCGCACAATCGAAGCCCACGCGCGGGTTTGCGAAGAAGAATGATGACAGCTCTGCGTTCGGGTCAAAGGGGGGATGGTGATGGTCTAATGCCGGGTGTTAATGTCCATATGATATCAAAATATAAAGGAAGTTCTTCATTCCTCTAGTATGATATAATCACTGCGTAGAGATCGAGCAGGGTTTAATTATCACATTCATTTCCCCTATTATGTATACTCAACGTTATATGTACTCGTTAGAGAGCTGAATGGTATTTTCTAGTATACATCGGAATTTGATCCGCATCTTAAATGATTAACCCGACTAGGCCTGACGCAAAGATGTACTTGTGGCAGGTCCATTGGTTGATGTGTCCATCATGCTATACTCATAATTGCATATATTTGCGATGGTATTCTATCCTTCACAGCTTGCCGTCGCGGAGATAGCCATTCGACTTGAGCCAAGATTCCACGTCAGAGCGGTCACGGTTGATCCAGTTGATCTTAGCCCGGATGGCATCAAGACTCTGCTCAACAGCACGATCAAAGCCCTAAAGAGGTATTAGTCATTGGTACTAGGCTTCTTGTACAAGTCGAACTTACCTTAGTATCCTTGTCCTTGAAGAACTCCTCCACCTCCTTCAACTGCGCCTCAGTGCAGAAGCTGGAAGTAGTGAGCTGCACAACAGTACCCAGCATACCAAGTCCCGGAGGCAGGCGCTTGTAGAGTGCATCCCAGTTGTTCTTCATCCAGGCCCAGCGAGCCTCAATACCCGCTGTGTGGTTGCGCAGACCGCCAAGAGGCATGTAGATATCCTGGTTCTTAACTTCATCACTGAGGGCAAGACCCAGAGTACGTTGGATGAGGGCCGGGTCTTCAGCAGAGCCGAGGCAGCGAAGAGCAGTGGTCTTCTCATCAGAAGTAGGAGCATTACGGAATCGGTCGTACACGACGTCGTACTCCTTCTCGCCACCGTTCTTCAGAACGATGCTGAAAACGCTGCCACGGATGTTTGGATGGATGGCGCTGGTTTCGCCCGCAGCGAAGCGCTGGAACATGTCCTGGGCGCCTTGACAACAACTGGATCCTCAGCCGAGCCGGCACTACTGAACAAGAGCGCCTTGAACTGTTGCAGGATGTGACCATCCTTCTCCGAGAATTCCCAGCCAATCTCGTGAGTCTTGGAGCTGACCAAAGCGCGCTGGAACGTCTTCAATGCGTCCTTAGCTTGGCTATCCTCGAAGAGCCATGCAGCCCGGAGAGTGCCAACGCGGGCCACGATCTCATTCCACACGATAAACTCAGATTCGTTGTCAAAGCCCTTGAGAAGCGAGAGCAAACCAGAGGTGCTTTGGTAACCAGACGAAGCGAGGGCACCAGCATCTGCAATCATACCAGCACGGTCTTCGACAGTCAGCAGGCCCTGCTTGGCTGCCTCACCAAGCTTCGTGAGCCGTTCAGGAGTATAGGAGGTACGGTAGATAGCAGAATGGTCAGCGTTCAGCTTGTAGAAATCAAGGTCTGGTACCTTGAACTGGCCCTCACGCTCAGTCAACATGGTGTTCTCATCAAGACCTTGCTTGGTACGTAAGCCCAACATGACAGGGTAAAGGGTGGTGTCCTCTTCTGGGCGGACATCACCAGTACGCAAGAAGCGGTTCTGAGTCAATTTGATCGACGAGCTGGCAGCATCCTCGGCCACAGTGACCACAGGGAATCCGACATTCTTGGTCCAGATGTCCATGACCTGCTCGACAGGCTTTCCACTTGCGTCAGCGAGAGCAGCCCACAGATCACCAGTCTGGGTGTTTCCATAAGCGTGCTTCTTGATGTAGTTACGGACACCTTGGATGAAAACATCCTCTCCCAGGTACTTAGAAATCATACGCAGGACAGAGGAGCCCTTCATGTAGGAAATGGCATCGAAGATCTGGTTGATCTCATCGGCACGCTTGACAGGCACCTCAATAGGGTGACTACTACGCAGAGAGTCGAGGGACAATGCACCCTGCAAGCTGTCGATGACGTATGTCTGCCAGACCTTCCACTCTGGGAAGAAGCTGTTGCAAGAGTACCACGACATCCAGGTTGCAAAGCCTTCGTTGAGCCAAAGACCATCCCAGAAATCCATGGTGACAAGGTTTCCGAACCATTGGTGAGCCAGTTCGTGCTGAACGACCTCGGCGATACGCTCCTTGCGCGAAGCACCGCTGTTCTTCTCGTCCAAGAGCACATCGACGACACGATAGGTGATCAGGCCCCAGTTCTCCATGGCGCCCGCACTGAAGTCCGGCACGGCGACCATGTCCATCTTAGGGAGTGGGAAAGTGCTGTCAAAAGCCTTCTCATAGAACGCCAGTGTCTTAGCAGCCAGATCCAACGAGAAGCGACCATGCTCAATATCCTGATCCGGAGTAGCATACACACGGATGGGGACACGGAAGTCCTTCGTCTCAATGTAGTTCAGATGACCGACAATGAAAGCCACCAGGTACGTGGACATGAGTGGGGAGGTGTTGAACTTGACAACCTTCTTGCCGCCCTCGACATCAGTCTCAGATGCCACGTCCATGTTGCTCAGGCAGGTCATGCTCTTGTCAGCGATCAAAGACACAGTGAACTTGGCCTTGAGGGCAGGCTCGTCGAAGCAGGGGAACGCTCTGCGGGCATCCGTGGGCTCCATCTGAGTCGAAGCAATATATTTGGTCTCGCCATTTGCCGTCTTGTAAGAGGACCGGTAGAAGCCGGCCATATTGTCATTGAGGATGCCAGTGAAGGTGAGCTTCAGCTGCGCGGAGGATCCGGCGGGGATCGTCTCGGCGAACTTGACGGTAGCTACCTGGCTATCCTTGTTGACGGAGATCTCCGGGCTGGAGGTGACCACGGAACCCTGAGCGGAGACGATGGCATTGTGGATTTCGATCTCGTTGGAGTTGAGGGAAATGGAAGTGGTGTCTTCGGTGACCTGGAGGCTACGCTAACCATGAGTTTCGATGATAAACTGGTGGGTACTGAAGGGATACATACTCGATCACAACGGTACCCTCATACTTGAAGGACTCGAAGTTCGGCTCCAAGGTCAGGTCATAATGGACCGGCTTGACATTGGTGGGCAGGACCTCACGGCCATGGGTGATGTTCGTCGAGCCCGAAGGCACGTCAGCACGACGGCACATCCTGCGATAGGAGCAGTAACGCTTGGAGAGTTGGGAAAGGGGAGAACGACGGGCGGATAAGCGGGTTGCGGAGGGGGATGAGGCGGAGGAGGGAGAAGAAGTAGCAGTCGTAGAGGAAGAGGGGACAGATAAGGAACGAGAGAAGAGGAGGGGACTTCTGGAGGGGAAGGAAAGCGGTGGCTTCTTCGCTGAGTTTAGTACCAGCGGCGGTAACCGCGTAGAAGAGAAGCGACGCATGGACCCCGCTGAATGGAAGGCCAAAAGGATAAGAGAAAGGTGGAAAGGCGGAAGAGGGGCAGTTCCCAATGGACTAATCAGACGGAACAAGCGCCAGAACAATACCACCTAAAACAATCCAGGCTATGGAGCGGACAATGAATGCAAAGTGTTGATTTGATTGATTCCACATCATCAGGAAAATCACGGCGGTTGGCCCCTTGCGGCAGGCGGTGAACCTCGCCTCCCGTTCCTCCTCGGCCAATCGGTTGCCCGTCCCCGGCCAGCTTGTTGCCCAATCTAGCGGCGGGAATATCGTTGTTCCGTAGAAGTTTCTGCTATATATTCTTTCCTCCGCGGGCTTCCCAGCTGGATCATCATACATATACATTCTTTCAGCAAGTAATACTCACATACAGCAGATGCCATGTTTTCATCCCCACAGGCAGATCGTTGTCGAGCTGTTCTCTCGAGGACAGTACTTGCAAGACCGTACACCAGCCAGTTTGAGGGGCCCATGACTGCAATCTCTTTGCATCTTTTGTGGATGGGCTTCCATAGATGACTGGGACACGTAAATTTACTTGAAATTCTATTCGAAATAGTTTATTAGTCAAATAATCGAAACTTTTCATCTCTATAAATATAAATATAGGTCTATACTACAATTAAGAATCGAAGTGGTATCCGTAACATGTTGAACCGGGGTATAACTTTGTTGACCAAACCAAATGTGCAAAATCAAAAAAATCCCCAGAAATTCCCAACTCCAAACAAATGCTTCGCTGTAAACATTATGATTACGCTTGAAAATAATGATGTTGAATCTTGAACTCATAAATCATGTCCGGGTTGCCCTAGACAATCTTAGGAGTGCTGTTGCTGCTCCTGTTGCCGCTGCAGCTGGCGCTGTTCGGCTTCCGCCAACGGCAGACGCGAGATGACACTCCGAGACCAACCGTCAGCATCCACCACGGTTTCCTTGACCATCACATAGTTGCCCCAGCGTGGGAGCAACACAGCCCACACGAGGTAATAAATTCCACCGGCGGCGAAGATGCCAAGGGCCACCACGCAGTGCAGGTAGTATGGTAGTTGCTCGTAGACGCTCTGTCCGGCACTTGGGGGCACGTACGGTGCCACCACCAGATACATGTTGGACAGGCAGAAGAAGATGGTCACGGGGAGTGTCGCGCGGATACCGGGGTTCCAGTCGGGGAACTTCGTCTCGTGAGTGAAGTAGACATACACGAGGCCACCAGATACAAAGACGTTGATAATAGCGAGCGGGTACGAAATAAGGTTGACCAAGAAGTTATAAGCGTCTCCTGGAGGGGGGGCCAACAGGATGATGATCGAGACGATGTAGTGCTCAAACAGACCAGCTGCCGGCGCGTTGAATGGCTTGTTGCTAGCGAAAAACTTCGAGAGAGGCAAGACACCTTCACGTCCCAGCTCTTGGACGATTCGACCTTGCGAGAAGATCACCGACAAGACATTGCCAAATGCCGATAAAGCGACGAAGACCGACATGACTTTCTCGCCCCGCGGGCCAAACATGTTACCGAAAAAGACGGCGGCGACGGTCTGGCCGGAACTAAGAAATTGTTCTCGGGGGACGGCGGCGAAATAGGCGATGTTGCAGAGCATGTAAAGAATTCCAACGGATCCAATGGCGATGGGCGCGGCGATCTTCAATGTACGTGTGGGGTTCTTGGTCTCACTCAAAGCCTGCGACTAGTTAGTAAATGGCATTGCGCGATACTGATCGGCAGTACTTACATAGTTGGCATTCGAGTAGCCGATAAATGACCAAATGACGTTATAGAGCGACATGACGATTCCATAACCGCTATTCGTTGTGCCCTCAAACGCGTTGCGGAAGTTGTGAGGGGGCTCATCGAGCTTCGTATGACCTCCGAGGGCAACAAAGCCACAGATGACAACGAACACGATGATGACAAGCTTGACCACACCCAGGAAGTTTTGGAGATGAAGACCCCACTTCAAGGCGAAGGCGTGAATGAGGAAGGCAGCAGAGATACAGGCCAACCCAATGCCACGTTGGTTCCAACGGTCAACCTCCACACCAGCAGCATTGAGGATGTACTCGCCGAACACCACACTGTTGCTGGCAGCCCAGCCAAGTAGCATGACATAAGAGGCATACATGCATGTTATGAGGAATTTCGGTTTCTTGAAGACATATTCAAGATAGTTCTTTTCGCCACCGTTCCTGGGTATAGTTAGTCCGACTGGTCTCATGAAGAGATACATATAGGACGGCGGTAAACGTACTTTGGAATAGCAGTACCCCATTCCAGGTACACAGCGGTACCGGCCATGGCAATGATGGTGCCAATCACCCACATGAACAGGGAAAGTCCAACGCTACCGGACAACGCCAAGATGGTACTTGGCGTAGCAAAGATACCAGTTCCGATGACTCTGTTGAAGATCAGGAACGAGGCGCTAACCACGCCAATTTGACGGCGGTCTTCTGGTGTTGCATCGAAGACATTACCCTCATCTGCACGGGATAGTTAGATCATGACTTCCAATACATCAAGATATCCATGATGCATACATAGCTGAGAGACACCATCGGTCCTCCGGGGCCCTTCTTCCAGGGCCTTGGTGTCCGGCATGATTTCTTTCGCGGATTTCGAAGCTGAATCACTCATGGTAGTGCGGAAATTTTAGACTTAAGCTCAAGAATGTTCTCCACCGAAGCTCTAGAAGCTATGGAGAAGAAAGCAGGCGAACGCAAGGGATTATATTGAGCAGGCCAAGCGGGTAACGACGGACATGCACCACGAGATGCGATGATGTGCTGGGCCTAAATCTGATGCAATCAGGCCGTAGCGTCGAGGCTGGTGTTAGCAACCGCCTAAAAAGGAAAAAAGTCCTTATAATATCACGACCATGCAACCTCGTGAGAAAGAGTGAAAAAGGTGCAATGCTGACAAGGATTGAATTAGGGTATCGTATGCCCAGGAGATTAAGCTCTCTCCATCAAATATGCATAGAAGAAAATGATTAAAAGAAAGAAATGGAGCTAAAAGAAAGATATCAACAACTGATGGCAAAGAACAAAAAGAGAAAAGAAAAATTTTTAAAAAAAATTTAAACGTGAGTGCCACATGGTTGAACCCGTAACGCAATTAATCTTATGAAGGCGAAAAAGGGTAGAAAAGTTTGGTTTCTGAAGCGGAACCGCCGAGTGAAGATCCACAAGATCCAGTTCATGACAAACAAAAATCGATGGCGTGATAGACTCGGCACCCGTGAGGGTTTTTGCTTGCGGAAGATCCGCTATTCTTGATGCAATTAGGCCTAGATCGTCATTACAGTATTGCCTAGCTCTGCTGGGTTGAGTCAAGTGTGTATACAGGGTCCGCAGCTAGTCCAAACTGCACTAAAAAAGCCTCAGAAAGAAAAAGAAAAACAGGAAATTGTGTCCAAAAGAATTTTCGTTCAATTAAGTATGTACAATACAAAGTGGTCTGGTAATGGTCTCTGTTCAAATCAAGAAAAAATTCGATCCTGCGCCCACCCAGACTCCCAAGCCGTAGCTTCATCATTCATATCCAAGTTGTGGCAATTTGTATACTTCTCCCACCTCAAACGCCAAATCAAGGCAGTACAAAGATAGACTGCGTTCTCGTGACAATGAAAATTAAAGCTTCAAGAGACGTAAAAAGACGGAAAGCAAGAGAGAAAAAAAAAAGAAAAAAGAACAAAAGAAAAGGAACAAATGCGCTGACAGGTCTTCAACAGAAAGCGCCGTATATGAACTCGCACACGAACCGTGATTAGATAGGAAAAAGGAGGTAAAATGCAGGAGAAAATTGAAAATACTGAAGAGAAAGGACTATATCTTGACGTAGCATGTACCTGCATGCATGAGATTAAACGTTCCACGTTCTACCTGGGCGTCGTCCCGACCGCCTGAGCAACAGGCACCAGACTGGACGGAGCCACTTTGCCAGGAAAGCTAGAGGGTGGGCTCTGCCGTTTTGCCAACAGGGCGAGTTTCTTGCGCAGGGATGCCAAGCGACTCCTGATGCTGGATACCACTGCATGACCCGTCAGAAGAGAAATTTCCAATTGTGTGCGTGGGACAACTCACATTTCATCACCACCTGACGGTCTTCCACCCGTACGCCATCCAGCACGGCTTTGTCGCCATCTCGCCGGGCATCGCCTTTGTCGGTGCCACTTCCTGGCCCAGACCGGGATACCTCGTCTTCCTCCAGTACAGCTTCCAACATCCGAATGGCGGTGACATAAGCTATCTCGCACCCAGAAAGGTCTTCGCCCGTCAGTTCATTGATGGCGGCCGCCCGACTCATCTCTAGTGCCCGATCGTACATTAGCTTCTCCGCCGTCACACCCGAACTCACAACCACGTCCGTGGAGGCGCCGGAGCCGACGGAGGAGCCGACGGAGTGATTACTGGGATGACTGGGGTGATCTGGTGGCAAGCGTTTCTGGCCTTCGATTAACTTGAGACGAACAAATTCTGCCTTTTCCAACACCTCATTGAATCGGTTTCGCACCCATTGTACGACATTGTTGATCCGGTTACTGACAAGCGTGCTTGTGGCGTCCGTCCTTCCCATGGCCGATTCGCCAAACGCTTCTCCACGGTTCTTCCGGGTCCACCAAGCGCCAGCGATATCCATAGATTTTGCCAACAATGAAAGCGCTTTGACGTAGAGAACGAGGGCTTCCTCGGACAAAGTTACAACAGCATCAACCGTGAGCCCACCATCTGTCAGATCGGTAGGATCCCGCTCCCCGCCGGGCACATTAGCCCTGCCTGAAGGGTCCGTTTGAACAGATGGCGCCAGTGGGATGAGTTGCTTGTACTTGACCTCGGCGAAGCCATACACCACGTCACTTCGCGTGGCACACTCTTCGATCACTTGGATGGTCTTCGCGTCCTCATCCAGGGTCACGTTAGTCCTTGCTCCATCCCCAACAACCATCAAGCTACCTTGAGCCGCCGGATAGGCTGGGAAGGGGTTGTAGCCCAGTGGGGGGGAGCGCCCTCCTTTCGTAATAGTCATGGGTGGCGAGAAGCCCATCCCAAACAAGCGCCCGCTAGCCATGTGGAGCGCTTTTGAGATGGCGGACGTAGGACTCTGGCCGTATCGACGCTCGTAAGAACCTTGACGAGTGTGCGTCGAATCAGCCGAGCTCGTCCAGAAGCAACCTGCATTGCTTTACCTGTAGTGGCCAAGGGTGACGTAGCGGTCGCCGTGGACGATCCTTGGGTGCCTGGACGACGCGACAGAGCATAGGCGTTCTTAGAAAAGCCACCCTGGATCCGAGGACTATGTGCCAACTCATCTGCAAAAGCATTCACCTCCACAGCACGTTTCTCCACGAGCACATAGTCTCTCTCGAACGCAATCTCTTGTGCAGCGCGCTCGCTTTCCTCTTTTGTTTTCTCTGCTTGCTTCTCGGTTTGTGGGGTTCCTGCGTAGGTATTTCGGCTCCTCTGCCGCTCCATTACAGCGGCCGTAGCATTTCGATCAACAAGCTCTTGACGACCGGGGGCCGTGGCAAGAGACACCGCACTCGGTCTCTGAGGCGTCGTGTTTGCCGGTTCTTTGGATGTAGTCGGTTTGTCCACACTTCCCACCCTACGCATAGGAGACGAGGAAGCCGGCGGAGTGTCCGACCTCTGCGTGGTAGGTCGATGAGCAGCCGGGTACGACACGGGGTCGTCCTTCTCACGTTTCATCCCGGTGGGGGTCCTTGATCCCGTTCGAGACTGGGGACGAGATGTCGACCCGGTGGTGTCCACAGCGACAGACGAACGGCGAGACGTTGAGGAAGCATCATCCGCTATTAACCCCGGGATAGGTCCTGTTATAGTGTCACAATCGAAGAAATCGGAGAAATTCATACGCTCCACGGGGTTCCGCTTCAATAGCATTCGAATAAGGGACTTTATTTGATCCGAGGCAGGGTTCTCCTCGGGGAACTTGATCCTGTCCTCTCCTTTCTCAATCTTCCGAAGCAGCTCAACATGGTTCGTGGCCCGAAAAGGGGGTTTGCCCACCACCATCTCATAGAGCACCGTGCCCACAGACCAAAGATCTGCTTTAGCATCGTACTTCTCGTACCGGAGGATTTCGGGGGCCATATAGAGAGGGGAGCCACACAATGTTTCAGCAAGCGATGTCGACGGAAGAGACCGAGCAAACCCGAAATCCGCAATTTTGAGCATTGGTAGGGATTCCAGTCCCGTTGCAGGGCTAAAGGATTCTTCACACCCTTTGAATGGCACAACCTGAGCCACGCCACTCCGGTATGACGACGGAGACGGACACAGTAGAAGATTTTGTGGTTTGATGTCACGGTGAATCAAGTTTCGATCTCGGAGAAATTTCAGCGCGCTTGCCAGCTGCTTGAGAAAATGGCGTACGACCACTTCATTCAGTGCGCCACCACGGGGGTTCGGATACTTCGCAATCATGTCCTGCGTATATCGGTGGTCCCCTAGTGTATCTCGGCGCTTGATGAACAGTGACAGATCCCCCAAGGCACAGTATTCCATCACCAGGTGGATGTGTGAAGTCGTCTCATGGCAGTCAATGAGGGCCACGATATGTGGATGGTATAGCCCTTTTAGGATATGAATCTCCGAGGAAAGGTTCTCTTTTAGCTTCTTGTTCAATTTGGAGAGGTTGACGGACTTGATGGCGACGTAAGTACGTGATTTCTAGAACCCCAAAAGAATTAGCATTGGCCCCCGTATAGCTCCACCTAAGCAGACCTAATGAACCTTAACCAATCTAGACTTACCGTATGGACACCCTGATAGACTGTAGCAAAACTCCCTCGGCCAATCTCATCCAGTCTGGTATAACGACCAATGGGCATCTCGGCATGGGAGGTCTCCCTGGACCTCCTGTGGTGTGAAGATGCCATACTGCAAACGGGGCGACGACAACGCCCTAAGAGGAGCGTTCACAAAGAACCAGCCACGCCCCGACGACCACACAACTACCTCAGCAACGGCAGCAACAACGATTGATGATGGAAGTGGCCCATCAGGGGAGGGAGATGATGTCCAGAGGGCCGGTCGATAGGGAGCTATCAAGAATAGATAAGGCTGAGGGGGTGGGGACGTAGAAGGAAAGCAGAAGCCGAGAGTCGTTGAACGAGAGAGGAGATGATGAGCGAGCTATCGGACGTCAAGGACCGAAACGACAGAAAGTGGACCGAGTCGCTGAGAAGGAGAAGTGTCGAGGTGAGCAGCAACGACAAGGATGGGAACAGTATACAGGCGTACGAGAGCGGTGAGGCGGAAACGGGTGCTCTACGCTGATAGGAAGGCGATAGCTGCAGGAGGTAGCCAAGGATGTTAATCAAGGTCGATAGTGGTCGGGATTATCCCCGATAACACTCTATAGAAGGTGGTACATGCGTCGATGTGATAAAAAGCAAATGGGGGAAGATCAGAGAAAAAGTAGGCTGTCAAATAAGAGGCAAATCGACAGAAGAAAGGAGAGAAGTACCGGCTCTGGCGTATCAGCGGAGGATGATGTGATGAGACCAGGGCGGGTGACAAGCAGTTAGACCCAAGGAACGTTTTGACGATCTTGTCTTTGGGGAAAAGTACCAGTGCTAAACTAGTCTGCGATAACGATCTATTGGGGACCAGTGGGACGCAAGGCGGTCAGAAGGGCGGCGATGGACTTGGAGATGATCGGGAACCAATCCAGATGAATACCCAAAACAGGAACAGGCTAGCTACTGGAATGATGGGGGATGACGGGGATGACGGGGATGACTGAGAGGAGAATGGTCAGATTCCTGAAGGCGACTGTAAAAAGATGGAAGATCCAGAAAGAATGGCGATGAGAGAGAACCAGGCTGGCTCCGAAACGGGAACCTAATCTAGCAGTGGCCTGAGGCCGGAAGGGCATCACGTTATCGTTTCGATTGCAGCCAAGTACGCAAGCTCGACCACAGACGATGGAACAACGCTGTCTATGACATCTATGTACTTAGTTTCTCACCATGACACCTGCACTCGTGTTTCTCATCCCTCTTCATCACCGGAGTGAATGACTCATCTGATGATAGCCTCCTGTTCACAAGCGCCCGGTTTGCCACTGAATGACTGAAGGTTGATCTGCCGAATCATCGATAAGACCAAAGTGGAGACGCGTTAGATACGTTGGCGTCCACTAAACACCTGGCGATCAGCAACTTCGAACTTCGTTGACGAATCGTAGAAAGTTGCCTAAGGGGATTCAACCAGTCATATTATGATTTTCAATTTTGGGTCACGGGTATCTCATGGGTGTCATGTGAATCTTTTCCAACACAAAGGCAAGACTATCTACGCCGCCTAGTATTCCTTCCAAAATCTTGCCCAACACATGGTAGAGAGAAAGAAGGAAAAGGAAAGTAAAAAAGAATAGGAAAAAAAATGGGCAAGAATGAACAAGAATGAAATACAATACAAATCCCCTGCCCACTTTCCTGATCTAAAAAGTCAAAAGATCTTGTCAGATAAGCTTCCCAGGGAGTGTTTCATCCAGAAAGCATGTCCCAGTGTCCTCACAGGCCAAGTCCCCTGACGAGCAGCCACAGCACGATCGGTACAAGAACATTGTCGTTGCACCCTGTCAAAATCGCTTCGGTCGCACTGGTGCCTGCAGCCGCTATGATGGCTTTGCACACCGTCCAAAGCCAGAATAATTGATTCTGCCCATCGTTCACATGCACAGCCCACTGGCCTGCGGCAAGCCACAATCGGGAAAACACCAGACCCCCGGTCACAGCCGCCGCAAAAGCCACACTGCCCTCCAAGGACTTGCCTCCACCCCAGAACCACTTACGCCGACCAAACCGACGACCCACTAGTGATGCGGCGGCATCTCCAAGACCGACGCATACTACTCCGCTGACCATACTGACATCCCGGAACTGAACGTTCCAGGCGCCCCACGGGTGGTCTTCCGATCGGGGGATGTCAGCCAAAGAAAGCCACAGGGGAATAGAGCATCCGATAAGAAGGAAGATGTGAGAGATAATGACAGGTCCCCGATGGTCTCGGCCGTCAACATAGGGCGCCAGGAAATAGGTCAACGGTCGAGAGATTGGCGGCATTTGGGAAGCTCGGAAAAGATCCAGAAGGAGAAATATAGACAGTACTAGCGCGAGAGCGAGAGCACAGAATGCAGGATCGATGTAGATGGTGGGAAGAAACATCAACACCATCATGCCGTGGAAGACTTTGCGTCTTGTATCCACTTCTACGATGGAGCTCAACTTAAAAACAACACCCAGGCCCAATATAATCACCGCAATACAATGAGCAGCAATTAAAAGACGTGCATTGGCTTCCCCAAAAGAAGTCTGCCGGAGACACTCCATCCAGCCAAGAGAGCACATTTCACGATCCAAGCGAGGAGGAAGAGGAATCCAGTACTCCAGGTTCCACATGATCACCCAGAACCTAAACCAGGACACATTCCCCAGTAGGTAGCTCAAAGCCCACCCAAACGGCTCCTCTCCACCCAGTGCACGTTCGCTCACGTACTTCCGCACTGGGCCCATGATGATAATTGCCACAGCCGCATATACGTACAGGGCGTAAAGCCATTTTCGCACTTGTGCTTGTGGTACAGTCAGTGACAAAAAGGATGCCAGGCCCGGAGCCATCGATCGCTTCCGTCGGCCACTGGGAGTGGTTCTGATACGCTCTGAATGTGCAGCCTCATCCACGCTGGAGATAGTATGTCGTCTTCGATGCACTGCATGCCGATGGCCATTCTCTTGGGGAACCTTGTCGGTCATTTCTCTAGCTGGAGTCTTCTCTCGAACTCATGCGTTGTTCTGCGTGATATTGGCGCCATGTGAGCCTCATATTCACTGTCTGACATAGCATCTTCGGAGGAGCCCGCTCGGCTCAGTTTTTGGCAGAGTTTATGGTCGATAACATACAAGAGATTTTTTCGTGATTGCGAACCACTGGGCGACCGTCTAAACTTCCAGCTGGGGATCCTAGCTAGAGCGACCTCCCAACGGAGAACATGCCGGCAAGAGATAAAAATGCACAAGCCGCCCAGCCACAATAGCGCCTTAAGGATCTCCGCCTGGGGGGAGCTCGCAAACAAAAACAGATTCACAAGAGCACTCGTCAAAAGCTGTAGCTCTGCCGGAAGGATACTGGTAGTTAATAAGAAATCTAAAGTGGGTATCAATGCTTGATGCAACGGAAAAACAAGGGTCAAAACTTCAGAACTGAGGCCGCGAAGCGCGAGAGGCTTGGGTATCGTATGATCTGCAGAAAAATGCTCCGAGACAATAATGGGTATCAACGTGACCAACCAATGGACGACACTGTGACCATGCATCCACTCGTGCAATGGAATGACTGGGGCGGGTAAAGACGAGAGACTGAGAATGATGTTTGGCAATACTAGCGCAGGGCTACGGTGCGCCAAGGACAAAGAGGTGTAAATGGGTATCAAAATCGGGTAAAGAAGGGGAGCGGGGTCGAAGCTCCTTGGAATGGTAAAAGAGTTTAATCCGGAAAGGCGTAGGCGTCCATTTCTCCTGAGCGGATACACCGCGTACAGCGTGGTGACAAGAACGCCATGAGCAAGTAATTCTACCAAGCGATACAGGTAAGTGACGAACTTCGCAATAGTGCCAAACAGCAATCATACGTACCTTTCCTCCAAGCCCATGCAAGTAACCTCGCACTCTCCTGGGACAACACAACCGCGCCCACGGACAATAGCAAACCTGTCTCTAAGAGCCGCCGCAAGACCTCAAGGCGCTTTTTTCCGACCTTCCCTCGTAATCCCACCCTTCCAGTTCCCATGTCTTCACTGGAGCTCTGTTGTGAGCTCCGGGACATTGACCGTCCCAGCGAGGGCCACGGTTGCAATAGCGGCAACCACGAGTCACGGTCTGTGGCATCATTGTAGCCCGAACGCAACCCTTTCCGCTGGCGAAGAGGGGGCGCCGGGAGTCCTTTTAAAATCCCTGTACTCTCATCATCTGCCTCGGTGCCGCTATCACTGGACGTTTTAGGCCATGAATTGGGAGTTAGTCGATCACCGCCATTCATAGGTAGCAAATGGGGTTCGGAGCACTTGGAGCCCTTGCGATGGTAGGGGTGCGGCGACCGGGAAGTATCTCGGAGAGTGTCTGGTATAGATGAATCGGGCTGGAATAGATTGTTGGGGAGAGGTAATCTCTCCTCCTCATGGTTCTGCGAAGCGGCCATGACCCCATGGACTCTTGATCGGAGAGTTTTAGAGCGAGTACGTCATATCTGAGGGGACACTTGCGGAGACACGAGGACACTAAACTGACAATACCACGTTAGTAGATACACCATAAGCCAGTACAAATGGGAAATCCAGGGCATACAAAATGAGTACAAAGGTGTATTGCTGGTGGAGGCGTTGTGAAGGACCGGTTGTTATCTAATGAGGTAACGAAAACGGAGGCGGTTTTTTGCGTATCACATGCTTTTAGGCTCACGGGATAATGCAAGTCAACGGCCATCACCCAGATTATGCATAGATCTAGGCCTCTATGATTAACATTCCACTCGCAAATTTCCCGGTCCTCATTTCATGAAATCCAGTCTTGCTTCAACCAAACATGTTCTAGTCAACCCTGACTCAGCATCCCACAGCTGATCCAGTATCGCCAGACACTTATCTCCTGATGTCTAAGCACCACTTATCGAGCAGATGTGACCAATCAATTAGGGTTGATGCTAAATCTACACACAGGCCTTCTGAGTGAACGTGGCATCAGCCTTGTTCTTATGTCACGCAATATGCAGCAGTAGTAATTCTGTCTACGCGTCCGTGGGGTTATGCGTCTGTAGGATGATCCCGGCCGCCAATTGCCGCCCTTTCTGGCCCCATACTGACGTGCAAGGCACGATCTGACCCGGCCAACTATTCCCAGACAGCGGCTGTGCTGTGTAGAGAATTGCATGGGAAACCCCCGCTGTGGAGTATCGTTCGAGAATGCGCTGCAGGCACGATTCCAGTTCAGTGCCAGACTCTTTGCCAATCTCGATTCCTGTGTACCGCAGATTCTCGTCTGTGGTGGTGTCGATCTTGCGACCAACATCCAATTCTTCCGCAGCCATCTTCAAACCACCACACCGATAACCCAAACCCTGCCATTCGATATCGCTACCCCGGGGTAGTTCAGCTACCTGGGCAGCAAAGAAGGTAGGAACCAGTACGTCCGACTGCACCACGGACATGTTAGGCAAAGCAGCCGCCACTGCCTTTGCTGGCTGGTCATAAGCTCGTCCTCCATACTTGATGTCCCAAGCATCCAACGTCGGTTCTTCGTCGTCCTCGTCTGAATCGGTTTGCTGGACATGCATCGTCTCCCAGAGACGCCATGCTATTTGCGCTTTAGTATCCATGTGGTCTGTTCCCGTTAAATACGCAACGGCCCCCAGCCACCAGTCAACCTGCATCGCTGCCGCAATCCTCCACAGATGCTGCAAAGACAACACCGCTCGCAAGGAGTAGCTCTCAAGCCATGGCTCCGGGCCAGCGACCATATCCATCGACGCCGGTTCCAAAGGTATCTGACCGGCAATGTACACCAGCCGCTCTGATGCCTGCACCGGGATAGACATAGCCTGTGAATACGGTCCAATATTAGCGGGGGCCCAGTATGAACGGGACTGAACATGAAGGCCCTGTCGCAGATCCCTGGGGCCCAAATCGATGACCAACGAGACCGTAATCTTTACGCCCTCGGGGAGACTATTCCCACAAGCCACCGTAGCTCTGGCAGGGGGGTTCGGCTTCTTGAAAAGCGAAACGTAGATATCGTTCATCAACGGGAAGTCAACCATAGAGCGAATCAAAACCGTAGCAAAGACGATATCAGCGGGTGTCCGAGTACCCGTAGACTCCAAAATAAGCCGGATCTTTTGCGCAATCGCCTCCATTTGCTCCCCAGCACCAGGACCAGCCTCAGGCGCCGCAAGATTCGAGATAGCCCAAGTGCCGCCATTCCTCGACTGAGCGACCTCCCCCAGTCGCCACACAGGCTGAGAT